AAGCCAGCATGGCGTTGTTGGAAACAGGCTGTGCCTGACAAACCTTACTGCTTTTTTTGACAAAGTGGCTAGATTAATACTCCAAGGGGATGCTGCAAAGGTATACCTAGATCAGTGTTTCCCAACCTTGGCAACTTTAAGATTTAAGATTTAAGACCCATGGCTGGCTGGGGAATTTGGGGAGTTGAAGTCCACCCATCTTAAAGTTGCCAAGGTTGGGAAACACTGACCTAGACCATGAAGGTATAACTAGACTTCAGTAAGGCATTTGATAACATTGACCATAGCCTCCTCCTTGATAAAATGCAGCAATATGGGATGGATGGTCCCACCTGGAATACTGTATCCATCCAGTTTTGGTCATCACAATTTAAAAAGATACTGAAGAACTGGGAAGAGTGCAGAGAAGAGCGACCAAGATGATGAGAGACATGGAGGCTAAATTCCAGGAATAATGGTTAAAAGAACTGGGCATGTTTAGCCTCAAGGTGAGAAGGTTGAGGGGAGACACGAGACCAGCCTTCCAATCCTTGGACCGCTGTCCCAGGGAGAAGGGTGTTGATTGAGTCCCCATAGCATCCAAGGACAGGAGAAGAACCCATGGGAGGAAGCTTCAGAGGGAAACCCCAACTTGAAATGAGGAAGAATGTCTTGCCCCTTAGAGCGATTAAGCAGCGAAAGAGCCTGCTTCCTGGAGTTGTGGGTGTCCATCACTGGAGGTTTTGAAACAAAAGTTGGACAACCATTTGTCTGGGATGGCATGAGAACTCCTGCCCTGGCAGGGGGCTGGACTAGATTACCTCCAAAGTCCTTCCAATTCTATGAGTCTATGAGAATGGTCTTTAGAAGGAAGGTCACAAGAAGGAGACCCTCCCCATTCCTGCTGCAGCACCATGTCTGGTGGATACTTCTTCCCACCACTGGTGACGTGCAGGAAAGGATGGCTAACAAAGCCAGAGGACCCAACCCAGGGTTTCTCAACCTCAGCAACTTTAAGATGGGTGGACTCCAACTCCCAGAATTCCCCAGCCAGGGCCTCAAAGTTGCTGAGGTTGAGAAACACTGACCCAGCCAACTGCTTTGCTTATCACACGCTGAACCCACAAAGCCAAGACTGCCCCTTTCAGCAGTGAATCAGAAGAGACAGCAGGTCCAGGGGCCACAAATTCAATGCTGGTGGAGTTTTTGCGTCTCAAAGATGGACACAAAACACCAGCAAGGACAGGTCCTAGAAAAGCTGATTCAAAAAGGAAGTAAAGGACCAAAAGGGGAAGTGAGAATAAATAGGCCTGGCGTTTAAGCCACATCTGCAAAGGTTGGGGTTTCAAAGATTTGACTGTTGCAGCGAAAGTAATAAAGCACCGGTGACCTCTGTCAGACTAACGGCTGCTGACCTTCTATGATGGGATTTGTAGTCCAGCACTTCTAGAAAGTGCTTCGTGGAGAGCCGTGCATCTTTGACATTTTGGCCTAGGGGCTGCTTATAATGTCCACAAATTATATATCACAGGCAGTCATCCTAGCGAAACGGAAATCCCCTGCTAGAGGGCACGTAGAGAGAGAGCAGAGGTGATGAGAGACAGACAGGAATTCAGCCTGTCGAAGAGACAAATGAAACTGACAAAGCAACGTCTCGCCTCGTGTGGCACCTACAGCGGCAGAGGAATGGGAAAGCCTTCGGGGCCTGCAGCGGGCAACTGGCCTGGACGGGCAAAGGGCCCTTTCTCCCGCCCCCCAACCCCGGGAACACCGCCGTCCAGTCCCTACCGACACGCTGCCAAAGGGGGCCGCGACAGCCCCATCAAGGAGGCTTCCTACAAGGGCTTGCGACTGTGGATTCTGACCGCCGACCCCACGGACCCCTGGAAGCTTCTGGAATCAGGCTGGCAGACGGTCTCTTGATCAGGACCAGCGATCAGAGCCGCCGCCGAGAGATCAGAAGAGAAGGAGAGCCGGAATGCAGAAGGGGCACCCGGACATTCAACAGGACATCCAGAAGGACTCTGGGTGTGTGTTAGTTCGTCAGCTTGCCCACCCCAACCTTCCTCCTTCCTTTCCTCCCTGTCTGACTAATTGGTGTTCAAGATCTTGACCACTCGACCCTCGACCCCATCCTATCTGGCCCTGCCTCGCGGGCAGCCTCCCTCCCCGCCCTCCTCAGGCCCCTGGACAATGCTGGACTCTGCTGAATGGCTCCTCAATAAATCAACGCAGCCCTTCCCCGCCTCCCCCCCCCAGCTGGGCTGCTTCGTTTCCCAGCCGGACAGAAGCTTCGCACTCGAGCCAGGATGCGTTCCCACAATTCCCACTCTGCCCTCCGGCTCTCGGGGGCTGATGGGGCCACTGAGATCGGGCGGTCTGCAGACCAAATGCTTTTCACCAAATTCGAGGAGAAGGCGCCCTGTTGCATCACTACATCTCATTAACCATCTCCGTCCTGCTGTATCCCCCCCCCGATTTTCACCCAATTCAATGGTTCCTCACCTCTTCCTTTATCCCCCCTACTCCAAATTCAGCTCTGCCTATCCAAGGGTGAACCCCACAACCTCCCAAGAATCCGCCCCAAAAACACACCGGAGCTTCAGGGATGCCTTCGCATGCCAAGCCAAACTACCGTGTGGGGAAACTCCCTTATGTGGGAAAGAAGCACGTGCATTTAAATCCCGGTTCGTCGGCTTTTGTAACTCATTCATTTTAAAGCTCCGGTGAGGTCGAAAGCCCCAAGGAGCCAGAGCTTTTGTTGTCCAAGGTTTTCCGGCTGGGAAAACCCTTCAGAACAAAAAAAAGAAAATCGCCCTGCTCCTCCTCGTCTGCTTCCAGGGCATCTCCTAAAACACATCCAGGCAAATTCCTTCCATTGTTCCACTATTTAAACAATTTAAGAAGGAGAGAGAGAAACCATACCTGGTGGCTCGGAGGGATCCAGATGCTCGGCCGGTTGTGGGGGAGGCGCCACAGGAAAGGCTCCTGGCCAGCCCCAAACGTCTCCTGGGGCTACGAGGAAACCAGCCAGCTCCCGACAACCCTGCACAGGAAAATCCCTCCGTCAAAGCCCATCCCTGAGTCACCACCGCCTGCTAGTTATGCTGAGTGAACATCCTGGGGTTGCCATAGCAACCGTTTACCTCCAGCAGCGGTCCAGACTCTTGCTCCCGAGATCCCTGGCATCAGCCGGGCATCCAGATGTGGCATCACGCAGGAGGACAGGGAGGGACGCTCTTCCCCAACAAGGGCCTCATCGCCTCGCCACTGGGAAGACACGGAGAGGCAGCATCATTAATTCTTCGCCCTCCCTCACGCCACGTCGGCTGGCTGCCAGATGTTCTCTTTAGCCAGCGTGACAGAGAGCATCTCCTCAAGGAAACTCCAGCCTTCGACGTGCCGGGAATTATGCAAACCGTCACGTTCTGCGCACTGACAACAGGCGAGTAAATGATTTCCTACCCGTCCCAAATGTGGGTTCAATATGGGAGGAAATGTGGGCAATTTAGATCAGTGTTTCTCAACCTTGGCAACTTGGAGATATGTGGACTTCAACTCCCAGAATTCCCCAGCCAGCCTTGCTGAAGTCCACACATCTCCAAGCTGCCAAGGTTGAGAAACGCTGATTTAGATCCTGGAACCAAATACAGATCCTTTGCATCCAGATGGGAGGCATGGGTCTTCCTGGAGAAGAGGACCCTGAAGTCCTGTGCATGTAAGAATAGCTCCAATTACCCATTTCATCTCCTGACATTATGTTCCATGTGCCACCCCCCTTTGAAAAATCAGTAACATCAAAACAAGGATAAAACAAATCCAGCTGAAATCAATGCCTGGACCCTGGCATATCCTAGGAAGTCATTAAGCTAATGAATGGGCTCGCGTTGCAGGACCAAGCCAAACCACACACACCACCATCCAGCCATGATAACTCCTTCTGTAAATCCTGGATAAACGCCTGTTAGTATCCTGGCTAACCAGGCCAATGTTCCTTGAATTCTAGGTGATCCTGATCTCACTTGTGGGATCCGCCTGAGTCTGGGCTGCCCCAAGGGAGACCGGGAAGGCAGTGACAAGACCCTAGATCACGTTAGATCTACTAATATTCTGCCGTGTTTGTGGTAAAAATATCTCCCCCGATTCTTTGCAGTGCAAGCCTGGCACGTTTAGGTTACTGCAATGAGAATCGGGCCAAGGAGCCCCTTCCTCCGAACAGACCCTTTGGACTACAACTCCCAACATCCACTGGAGTGTCAGGAAGACCTCCACTGGCCCGGAGCAGAGCAAGGCTCCCTCCACCAGAAGCTTAACTGGGATGTTAAGAGGTCATGAGAACCAGGGGTTCAAGGCCACCCCCAGCAGACTCATGGTTCAACTGGCCCCACTGAGCCAGCTGGGTTGGGCAAACATGTTTGGCCTCTCCGGTCCTCCAAGAAAAAGAGCTGAAGAGAAAGAGCGACCCTCCAGAATGAATGGCCGAGCCAGGCAGCAGAGGACACGCCTCCCAAACACCGATTGGCTGAAGCAGCGCAACCAACCTACTGTGGCCTGACTGGCCAACCAGGAACAGGGCAGTGAGGTCAGGAAGCCTCTGCTCTCAGCCAATCATGGTTAGGCAAACCCTGTTTCTCAACTTCTCCAACTTTAAGCTATGCTGGCTGGGGAATTCTGGGAATTGAAGTCCACCCACCTTAAAGTTGGTGAAATTGAGAAACACCCCCCTAACATATCACAATCTATGACCCTTGCAGTATGGGGCGCTGGCTAGCTCTAAATGATGATTATTTCACAGAATGACACGCCATGCCAACCCCCCCCCGTCCTTTTCCCCAACCACCTTCATTCAGTCTGAACACTTTCAAAATTGCTTTCCAAGGAGAAGAGAATTTCAGACGTTCTCATGGGTGGCCCTAAGTAAGTTCTTGCACTTACTTAGGGGGAAGGTGGCCGAGGTGTTCAGTGCGTGTGCAAATGCCGTGTCTTCATGGTGCACGCTTCTCTCCACCGGCCTTCCACCCCATCCCAGGGGGCATCTCCGGGCACCGCAGCCTCCTGTGGGCTGTTCTCACATCCCTACACACGCCTACCTCTCCACCACGTTCCTCCCTTTTGCGGAAAGGAGCACGAAACAGAAATCCAAAGGCCAGGCACAAGATCAAAAAAAGGAAAAGGAACGGAAATAGCGCTAAAACTTCCTAATTTCGGCAAGGAGAAAGTCTGCTCCAACAACAGCACAAGCAAGAGAAATTCAGGAGAGACTCATCAGCAAACTGAGAGTAACGCAGAAAAACAGAAGCCTTCAGGGTAAGGATAATTAACCCAATTATCTATGCAAATTTGGGCTTGCTGGTAGCAAGATGGAAGTGCCAAATTAGTAAACCGTGATGCATGAATTCACAGGACAGATAGGGAAGGAGAGTAAATATATACCCACAACCACACCCCACAGCAAGTGTGGAGCAAGGCCTTTCGATTCAGTCAGGATGGGCAAATGCCCTGAACTCAGGAGAACTCGGTTCGACTTACAAAGCACCTGAATCTTAGCCCAAAATGTCCAGGCAGCCACATTTCACAAGGGCTGCACCCCTGAGCTCTTAATGAGAAACACAAAACACCCCATTAAAGCAACGCAGCCCAGTGAACGACTAGAATTACGTAGGGAGCCCATTGAAAGTTATCTAAAAGCGATCTGTTTGATTTATTTCCTCATTCCCCGTCCCAAACAGCAGGAAAACGCGGAGCCCCGTCCTGCCTCATCCCCTTCTGGAGCAAAGGAAGCCCCCAGCTCTCAAATGCTCCTCCGTTAAATCCCCAACAAACAGGGGAAAGAGGGAAGGGAGTGAGCGGGCACAAGGGTGGGCATCTTCAAGTGGCCTGCAGCCAATGGCGCAGCCCTCGCAAGAATTCGCTCTCGGGCCACAGCAATCCCACTCTTGGCTGGGAGGGAAGGCAGCAGCAGCAGCTGGCAGAAAGAGAGCATGGAAAGTGTGCTCTGCCTGCTCTGGACTCCCACACCTCCCACTGCTGATTACACTGGAGGGAATGCAGCAACAAACCCAGTCATTTCCAGCTCTTTGGCTCTTTGTGACCTGATGCACATTCTACCTCCAGGATGGTCTATCGGTCCCGGCTCCCTCGGGTTCTGTGAGCTCCTGCCAGTGGGTCCAGCCGCCTTGCCCTCTGTCAGCCCCCGATGCTCTTCCCCAGCGACTCTGGCCCCCAAAGCTCTAAGCCAGGGCTTCCTTCCAGTGAGCAGCCTGGCTCTCCTTCATCTG